TTAAACATGTTTCTGTGCATCTGTTCTGGGTGGCTTCTTCCTGGACCAAGTCAAAGAGCCCACAAGTCTGGTTTAAATTAACACTGAAAGAAAAATTTAATTAAATACTGGATTAAATAACACTTAATATACTGGATATATTAATATACTTAATTAATATACTGGATTAAATAACACTTAAGAAGCTTACTCAGTGGAACAGCATCAATTTTCTTCCAGGGTGTGAGGTAGATTTTCTTCTCTAGCCAATCCAAATACTCCTGACAGTTTTCACTTGGTTGGTCCCATGGTAACTCTATGGAAAAATAGCTAAACTCTCAACAAAGATGCAGTCTCTGACTGACACACACAGAATACTGATGTCTTACCTCCAGCTAACATTGCTGTGAGCACAATGCCACAAGCCCAAGTGTCTGCAGGTTGAGCGTGGAATGCTGAGCGTGACATCAGCTCAGGGGCAACATAGGGCAGAGTGCCACACAGACGGGCCAATGCCCGCTCCCGGCCACGATGGCGGAACATGGTAGCCAGTCCAAAATCAGAGATCTTCAGATTATCTGAGAGAAAATATAAATAGGATATATATAAAAATTTGTTTCTATTACGATACATTATTTAGGTTTTCTACTTACTATAGTACTGTACTGTTAAATGTATTATATATTTATTTTGATCTTTTTTTTTTTTACATTTATTTTAATTATTATTTTTTTTATTCACAAAACTTGTTTAATCTTATTTTCATCCCCTAGTAAAAGTAATATATTTAAAATACATTTCATGCTAAGTATATAGTTCAGATCTATTACCATATTTACGGACATATCGCTCAAGACTTACTGATATAAATATTTGTATTAAAATTTATTTGGCGTACTACTTGTGCACAATGCACATTTCTTAATATTAAGCCTAAAATGTGTTTTAATGTCACTATTGATGAGGATTCAACAATCTTTGATAATATTCGTCTTTGAATGCGTGATATTTAAAGTGTACCTAAAGTATACTTGAAATAGTTCCACTTTAAGCACAGTCAAATATACTTTAGTACAGGGGTTCTCAAAGTCTACATTCAAAGGTCCAAATCAGAATTTTCATCAGTGTCAAAGGTCCGGACCGGAACAAGTGGTTATTACAAAATTAGTTTTTAATAAACATACATAACATGCATTTTTTTGAAAAAATTAAGTGCAAAAGTGGCAAAACAATTAATTTAAGTGTCAGCAATAGAGGTCGACCGATAAGGGTTTTTCTCTGGCCGATGCCGATATTTAGAAATCAGGGCAGCCGATGGCCGATATATGATGCTGATTTTTTTTGGCCGATATGTTCGGCCGATTTATTTATTTTTTCCTTTATCTCATAAAAGTGAGTTTGAGTAAATTATTATTGCAGGGCACAAGATGTAATAGTAGTAGTAGTAGTAGTAGTAATAATAATAATAATAATCTAATTAATAATTATTAGTAGTAGTAGTAGTAGTCTAATTCATAGCAATAATACATGGCTCAAAGCACCTTCTCAAAACAGTTCTGAAGCATGCTTTTTGTTTATGTTTGCTGACAGACCAGTGTTTCCCACAGACTTGCACATGCAAATTCATTCTCTGCCAGCAGAAGGCGCTGTTGGAGCGGGAGATATAGCAGTTTCCCCGGTTACGGCTGTAATCAAAAATCGAAATGAAAATGACATCAAAGCTTTTCTGAAGACGGTCAGTTCTTTTCAATTATACATTCATATAAAAACACCCGCACTGCCTTTTAATTTTGAAACGTGTAGTGCTCAGTTTATTTAACGAAGTAGTTAGAATTCTTTTGGCAAATCTATTTGTGGCGGTCAGTTTTGATTTTGTGACGGGCCGCCACAAATAACTCAATGTATGGGAAACACTGGACACTGCTAGAAGTCAAATACCCATAATCTAAGTGATAACAAAACAAAAAAAAAGTACTCATATTAGCGGTGAAATGTCGTCCGATTATCTCCAACGTCATACGCTCACTGGATGTCATGACAACAAAGGTCATGAAGGAAAAGTTTCAATATCTCGCCTTCGCTTTCATTTCGGACCATCTCCAAAAAGACATTAAAAAACTAAACATATGATTTACAAGTTTAACATGCGTTTATCAAAGTAGGAAATTAGTGTTCTTGAAATACGAAATGGTGGCGGGTCTGCTGGACTGAATTCCCTCCGGGTCCGGACTTTGAGAAGCACTGCTTTAGTATATCTTTAGTTAGACTTCAGTACTTCCGCACAATTAAAGTGCATTAAGCAAAAAATTTGTTGTTCCAATTTAGCAGACTTTAAGTATACCAGTTTAGTATACCAAAAGTACAACTGCAGGGTATTTTAAGTACATAAATATGTATTTGTAATATAAAAAAACTAGGATTATTTATTTTATTTTCTTATTATTTGATTTTAATTAAGCAAAAAATTTGTTGTTCCAATTTAGCAGACTTTAAGTATACCAGTTTAGTATACCAAAAGTACAACTGCAGGGTATTTTAAGTACATAAATATGTATTTGTAATATAAAAAAAAACTAGGATTATTTATTTTCTTTTCTTATTATTAGGGCCCAAGCCGGTAAGGCGCAGGCCCTATTGTTTTTCTAAGGATTATTATTATTATTATTATTTGCTAGAAGTCAAATACCCATAATCTAAGTGATAACAAAACAAAAAAAAAGTACTCATATTAGCGGTGAAATGTCGTCCGATTATCTCCAACGTCATACGCTCACTGGATGTCATGACAACAAAGGTCATGAAGGAAAAGTTTCAATATCTCGCCTTCGCTTTCATTTCGGACCATCTCCAAAAAGACATTAAAAAACTAAACATATGATTTACAAGTTTAACATGCGTTTATCAAAGTAGGAAATTAGTGTTCTTGAAATACGAAATGGTGGCGGGTCTGCTGGACTGAATTCCCTCCGGGTCCGGACTTTGAGAAGCACTGCTTTAGTATATCTTTAGTTAGACTTCAGTACTTCCGCACAATTAAAGTGCATTAAGCAAAAAATTTGTTGTTCCAATTTAGCAGACTTTAAGTATACCAGTTTAGTATACCAAAAGTACAACTGCAGGGTATTTTAAGTACATAAATATGTATTTGTAATATAAAAAAACTAGGATTATTTATTTTATTTTCTTATTATTTGATTTTATTTATTTTTTCACTTTTTTCCCCAGCACTGACCAAAGAAGATATATCTCCTTAGATATTAATAATAACAGAATACAATTTAATAGGTGTCATAAGGTTGTGTCACAGCTATCACGGTTACATATATTAGCGTGGCTGGAACATTGCATTGACCAATCAGAAGCCAGAATCTGTTTTATAATGACATTTAACACAAGACCATCAAGATGTACCTTTATCATCAAGAAGAATATTCTCAGGCTTTATGTCACGATGTGTAATCCCAACACTGTGAAGATATTCCTGTAAGCAAGAGAGAAATCTAGTTTTACAACAAAGGTGGCTATAAAAGTGAAAACCATTCACCAACACACCAGAATCAGAGAAAAATAATCTCAAAACTGACACTTACCACACCAGCTATTAGCTGCTGAAAAAACCTGTGTGCCTCCTTTTCTGGCATCCCAACATCTGGCTCTGTCAGAATTGGAAACAAATTGCATTTCGAGTAGAATCTTCAATATTTGCTCATCACAATTATTTAGACCCCACCAGATTTACATTACACTGGCCAAAGAAGCTAATAAAATGAAGATGTCCTAATCTATGTTTCGCTCACCGATTCTGTCAAAGAGCTCTCCTCCACTACAGTACTCCAGGAAGATGTACTGTGTCGTCCCCTCACTCCTGTGCCCAAAGAACCGTACGATGTTTGGGTGTGAAAGCATCTTGCATATGCAAACCTCCTTTTTTACATTCTCTATACAATCCTTGGCTTTTGCCATGTCCACAACTTTAACCGCCACAGCCTCTTCTGTCTTCTTGTTGACCAGCAGTCGCACCCTACAATAATTTGAAGTAGATTCATTCATTTGAAGACTTTAACGAATCAGGATGAGACTAATAAAAAGGACACTGGTCACTTACTCTCCATACGCCCCCTCTCCAAGGGTCTGCACCACATCCCAGTCTTTAACAAAAGGCACAGCCATGATCTGATCTGTGGACACAAGTCAGAACATCTAGTTAGTAATAAGCAGTAACGTTACTTGGGCATAAAAAGCCTAAAACACTTGCTCGGAATATATTCGTTTTGAGTAATTGTTAAATAAACAAAATGACACCTGCTAAATAAGACTAGGCAACGTTACTTAATTAGGTTATATACAGTGAAACGTCAAATCCGATAAGCTTGGCCTGTCCAATGTTAATTTCGTGTTATTTTGTGAAATAAACAGACCTTACGTGTTACCAATATCAGTGTCGAAGCTGTCCCATTTGATGCAGGTTGTTTGTTTATTCTGTTAGTATATTTACACACACCCGTTAGTAGTGTCTAGACAGAAATGTCCACAGACTGTATGGATATGGATAATACAAGCTAGTCCGTCCAAACCTTGGCGCGTTCTGGAGACGTGTCATCACCGGAAGCGCTTGGAGGAGAGAAATTTTAAAATAAAAGCTTAAATCAGCAGCAACTTTAAAAATGAGGGGAAATGTTTCATATTACCTGGAGAATTTCAAAATGTTTGTTTTGTTGGAATTGTATTGTAAAACTGTTCAGTAACTAAGACCACCAAAACCATAACAAATAAAATATCATAGCAGATTTATAAACTAAATATGAATGTGAGATAGATATGTTATTTTATGTGTTCCTGCACTTTTTATTATAGTTTGTAAAGACTGTTGGTTAGGATTAGATGTGTAAATGTTTGATTGTTTGTGTTTTTATTATTTTCTTGTCGTACAAGCAATAAAAAGTCATATTAGATCTAAATGTGGGCTTTTATTTTTTTTGTATAGTTTCCAACGCTTGAAAACGATACAAAATAAAAGCTCGCCTGTCACGGTGATCAAGGGAAATAAATCACAGTCATAAGATTAATGCGCTTTTTGTGATACAACATTTAATTTTAAAGCATTTAAATATGGTAAAGCATAATTACTAGCTGTCTTAATCACCATCGTTATTATCACATAACAGGAGCTGAAAGCAGACTGATTTCGCCTGTCGTTGTTATGGCAACATCAGGTCAGTTCCGTAAACACGACTGTACAGTTGGAGGGTTATTTCTAAAGCTAGCTAGACTCTAAGAAAGTGGAATAAAAAAAATATATATAATATTTTACCATGTTGACAGCCCACCGAAGCAGGACACGATGTCGGGAAGTAACTGGACCTGGACATTCAGTGGCATTGGTGAGTTAGTTATTAGTTATGCTGGCTTGACAAACTGATTTATTAGTAGTAGTAGTAGTAGTAGTAGTAGTAGTAGTAGTAGTAGTAGTAGTAGTAGTAGTAGTAGTAGTAGTAGTAGTAGTAGTAGTAGTAGTATTATTAGTAGTAGTAGTAGTAGTAGTAGTAGTAGTAGTAGTAGTAGTAGTAGTAGTAGTAGTAGTAGTAGTAGTAGTAGTAGTAGTAGTAGTAGCTGTTTTTATACAGTCTATGGTTAGTAGTAGTAGTATACCAAAATTTCTGACCCAATTTTTACTAAAACGGACGAAAAACTGCCCAAAATCCCATAGACTTAACTTACATGGAAAGCTTTCTTTCTTTCTCCAACGTAAAGTTTATCTTTCAAACTTTTCAATCTAACATTAGATCCCTATTAGTCTCTTTTATAATATTTGTAGTTACGTTAATGAAAAGAACTGTAAATGTAAATTCATGTACTGTTTTAATGTAAATATGTAATAATGTACATACATATTATTAAATTTTTTTTAGTTTTTGTTAATATTCATCTCAAATATGTGCATTTCAGAGAGCAAAGCCTCCTTTATCCAAAGACGTAGATGACTTCTTTCTGCGGAGGAGGAAACAGGAGGCCATACAGAATGAAGAATATGTAATAATGTACATACATATTATTAAATTTTTTTTAGTTTTTGTTAATATTCATCTCAAATATGTGCATTTCAGAGAGCAAAGCCTCCTTTATCCAAAGACGTAGATGACTTCTTTCTGCGGAGGAAACAGGAGGCCATACAGAATGAATTGCTGGAGTTTACCAAGAATCAGAGCTCCTGTGATGTGAGAATGCGATGGGAAAGGAACACACAGCGCCGGATGGTGTCGGCCACTATTAGTAGACATCTGCAGGAAGCAAGAGAGCAGTACCAGATGGACATTGATGAAAGGAGGGAAAGGTTTGAATGGAATAACCTCATAAATTATTAAGAAATCATCTCATTGTAAAGTGTAATGTCCTTGTCTGGCTCTTTTTGACAGGCTTCGTGAGCTGCTGTCAGAGGAGAGGGAGCTCTTCAGGGAGATGGAGGCAAAAAAGGAGACAGTGTTGGAGAGGCAAGCTAAGATGCTTGAAAGAGCCAAGACTCTGCGAGATAGAAGAGAGAGTGAGAGACAGAGACTTGTCGCTGAGAAACTCGATCAGCTCTTCAGGTAGAAGACCTTATTATTAGTGGTTGGATGAACTTGAACTTTGATTCAAACTACAAGATGTTCCATCTACCTGTGTTTTAGAGAGCAAAGTGAGGAGCTGCGTGCCGTGCAGATGAGGCGCAGACAGGATGAGGTCTGCACTGAGCGTGCTGCTCAGATCCGTACTAAGGAAGAAGTGCAATGGATGCAACAAGAGGAAGACAGACTGTTCGCCCAGATGTGGGAGAGCGACAGGCTGGCTAAAGAGGAGCGTCATAACCAAGAGGTTCAATGGCAAAGAGAGAACAACCTCCAGCAGAAGGAATTCCTGCAGGCACAGATGGAAACGACTGAGCAGCAGACAATACGGGCCAAGCAACTGAAGCAAGAGGAGGCCCAGTTACTGGTATTGATCATATTGTTCAATAGGATGAATCAATCAAATCAAGCCACAGTTATTATTAGGCATGCACGATATGTCTGTACCATATCGGTTATTGGCCAATTTTTTACAGTTTAATTGTAACATTTCAGGCATGCTCATTTCCCTTATCATGACCTTAATGGTCACTTCAATTTCATTAAATGAAAGTATTCTTTTGTAATTGTTGAGTTTTTTAGTTTTTTTTGTAATGTGTTATTAATTAAAAAAATATATATTAATATTACAACTAATATTTTTAATACTATAAATATAATATAACTTTTAAATAATGATCTTTAAATAGTATTAATTGCATTTATAATATTAGAAAAAATTTTATTAAAAAAAAATATCTGATATTTATATTTTATTTAGTTTTTCTAATATTATAAATGCAATCAATACTATTATTTTTTTTATAAAAGATTATATTTAAATACTACATAAAAAGTATACTACTGTTACTGTTAAATATAATCTTATAATGTAAGCAAATCTCGATATTAATCTTTAAATAGTTGTAATGTGATATTAATTTAAAAAATATATATATTAATATTTAATAATATGTTTATATAAAGTATATATTATTTAATATACACTTATATTATTAAATATAAACAAATGTTTAAATGATATAAATAAATAAATGTAAATATTATACAATTATCTTGTTAAAAATAATATTTAAAAACTTCATGAATAAAAAAAAGTATACCACTGTTAAATATAATCTTTAGCAAATCTCAACAAATCTTTACAAACCATGCGTTTTAATGTTGTGATGCCTAAATTGTCTTGCTGCATAACATTTTTTTTAAAAATACAGTAAAACTTTGAAGGTTAAAACTCCTTAGAGAGAGCACAGGGAGATGCTTCGTGTGGAGGCAGAGAGAGAACACAGACAGAAGCTCCAAGACCAGGAGAAACGACTTAAACAGTGTTAAAAATAATATTTAAAAACTTCATGAATAAAAAAAAGTATACCACTGTTAAATATAATCTTTAGCAAATCTCAACAAATCTTTACAAACCATGCGTTTTAATGTTGTGATGCCTAAATTGTCTTGCTGCATAAATTTTTTTTTAAAAATACAGTAAAACTTTGAAGGTTAAAACTCCTTAGAGAGAGCACAGGGAGATGCTTCGTGTGGAGGCAGAGAGAGAACACAGACAGAAGCTCCAAGACCAGGAGAAACGACTTAAACAGCACACACACAAACACTAAAAGATATATATAATGTATCATATAATATCATATGATATATTATGATTATTATATAAATATAAAATATATATTATGACAGTGCTATTTTTCTCTTTAGTAAATGAGAATATGCTGAAACAGGCTGAGCCTTTCAAAGAGAGAGAGGAGCTCGACAGAATCCTTGAAGAGAACAAATTGCTGGATGAAGAAGAAAAGATCCGGTAGGTTCCTGTCTGTCAAAGTTGTTCAACTTAATCATACCTACATACAAAAAATAATATTTTGTTTCCTAAATTTCCAGTTTAAGGGAGGCCACTCAAGAATATAAGGCTGATTTATTGGCTCAGATGCTGCACCACCAGCGCATTCATGAAGCAGAGCAAGCTGAGAAAGAACACGAGTTCCAGAGAGGTCTATGGTACCAGGAGCAGTACAATAAGAAGATCCAGGACATCCTCTCAAGGCCAATATCTGGAACCACAGCAGTTCATCCCTTCAGGAGACGAGAGCGCCCCTGCTCCAACTTTGGTGCACAGTTGGCATAAATCCAACACATTCTATTCTCAACATTATTCATAGCATGAGTATAAAATATCCTAAAAATGATATAAAAATAAAAAATAGATATTAAAAAAAACTTTCAGTGAACCTCCATGCTTAAATACCTTACATGCTCATTTCTGAATAACTAGATATTGTATATTTTACACATTTGTGTGATCTGTGATCAGATTCATTATCCCTGTGCTAAAGTTTGTATTCAGACTTAAATACAAGTCTGACTGGATTAACTTGTTTTGAGGTAGATATTTGCATGTTTAAAAGTTAATTATTTAAAGAAAGCTAATCATTTCAATGAATAGACTGTGAATAGTGTCCTCTTTTTGCAAGTCAGGTCAAAAGGTTAAGGTTAAAAAATGACACAGTTAACATGCAGATTATTTCCATAATGATTTAGCAACAAGGTTTTAGACCAATAAGCTGCTGGGTAAAATGATTAGTGGGTGGAAAACTTTTGACTCATATATGGTGAAGAAGTTAGTCAACACCCAATACCTTACCTAGGAGTGGTATGGGTGTGGAGCAATTGGTCTGATTTCATTTTTGTCATTTTTCTTTCTCACCTGGCTGTTCAGACAAGTTTTACTTTTACCCAAGCCAGTTTGAGACTACAAAATTCGGCAAAGTAACGCTATACAATCTTTTTAAGCATGACATGAGGAATATACAACAGCTCTGATGATCATTGTGTCTGTGGATATTTGTACAATTTCTAAAAGAAGATGCATGAACATGAACTTTATGTCAAGGTAGGTCAGGCATTGCTACTCTTTCATTTTAGATTTCCACATCACCTTAATTACAGTATGTGGTCCACTGAGAGTTACAGGTTACAGCTTTATGAATAAATACATTAAGCTAAACACGTTCATGCATCTGTTAATGTATTTTTTTCTGTCTTTATTCAGGATGTGAACAGTACTTAGGCTTTTCTCCTTCTGAATTTATGTTTCATCCTATGGTTTACTCATGGCTTGTGTCCACTCTGCATTTTGAAGATAAGAGTAGAGAGGCTGCTGTGTTGCTCAGCTTTGTGTCTTTGATTAATGATGCAGACACTGAGCATACACAGTCCACATTATCTGATTATTCAAGGCAGCTTCTGCTCTCAAATATTTCTGAGAAACACAAGAATGTACATGTATATATAGAGTCTTGTGTTCAAATTCACATTGTATGAAATGGGCCCAATTAGTTATGTAATCTTGGTGCAATTATGTGTTTCTATGCATTTAATAGCTTATACTGTGTAATATGTAGACTATTTTAGCACTATGTATATATATATATTTCCAGGTCTAGATGGAGACAAAAAAGTAATTTAAAGTTATAATAATTTAATGGGGTAAACATTCATGTAATCTAAAATGCTCTCAGATGACTGTCAAAAACACACTGCATTTAGTAATATATATATATATATATTTATTTATTTATTTATTTGTCTGGATCTATTAAGCCATTCAAAAATTATAAATAAAAATGTAAATAAGACTGCAGTTAATTAAAAAATTGACTTGAATACTCATTTTCTAGAAGAAACATTTATTACATTTTTTATTTAAAAGTCAATTTAGAATTTTTACTTTTGACATTTTTGTTTGGTCTAAAGGCAAATATGTATGGAATAACTGTCCAGAGAAAAGAAACAGTCTCTAAAAAAATTACATTATTGGAAAAAGTTGATATTGTTATTTCTTAAAAACAAAATAAGCAGCTATTTTACATTTAAATTTGCATTTAGTCAATTAGCAGATGCTTTTATCCAAAGTGACTTACAAATGAGGACCAACACTAACAATTTATCATAAGACCCAAAGTCAGCTATCAGTATTCACAGTATACAATGGCAAGTTTTCAGTGTAAGCTAGTGGTACACAAGCTAGAGCAGAAGTGAAATACAGAAAAATAAAGAAAAACTTGTGGAAAAAATATTGGATTTATTAAAGGAAGTGCCTTTGTTTATGATTTTGGTTTGTTTTAAAATATTGTCATATGATAAGTAAACTAGAGAGGATCCTTTTAGGCCCTCATCTTTTTTTTTCAATAAGTTTTTAGATTTTTAAAAGTGTTCTCATTTTTTACTTTTGGACATCATTATTTGTCATTCAAACATACCTGTATATTTACATCTCATTTACAGCTATGAGACAAATGCTTGTAGCTTTGCATTTCTCCTCATTTGGTTATATGGTCATATTTATAATATTTGGTAATATTTTCTTATTGCTGTCTAAATAGAAACAAGCGGACGGTCTTTAAATCTTCACTTAGAATGAACCACGACATTCTCATTTCCGTCACAATGTGATGTCTAGTGCAGTGCTGTAATTGACCAGATGGTGTCGCTGTAGACACACTGAATTGTGCCATTGATCCATGAGCCTCTGCCACTGCGGTCATGTCAGTCAGCATGATAGAGTCCATGGAGAAGGGAAGCAACTTCACTCCTTCTTTTTGACAATTACATACTTTTTCTCATATGTAACCGGTACCTTTTAGTCATTATTATGACTCAGTGATTAGTCGTGGTCATCGCTTATTTTAACTTGATTTTTAATATTTGGAGGAGGAGATGAAAGGGGCTTGTCCAACTCAACTTCAATTATGGGGACAGACACCTGCCGTGATCAGGCGCGGCTAACGCGCTAACATTAGCAGTCAGAGGGACTTCAAAAGTACAAACCAGCTCGACAGGACGACATGGAGTGGTGACAGGACATAGGAAATCTGGATTATAAAACTTGTTTGGGAATATCATCGTATTCAAACGGAGATATATTAACCTTGCGTGTGCTGATGTAACTAGTTTAGGTGGGAGCTGCTCTATTTGGGATCATGTCTGTGACTGAACTCTACTCTAGGGTGAGTTGTTGGGATTAGTTTTATTTCACCATGAAATGGCTAAATAAATAGTTAATAATATGAGACAGGTGAACAGTAATATAAGAATCTATTTACTGTGTGAGGTAAACGACGCGAAACGCCTTCACCAATCTTAAATCCTCGTGTAATGTAGCATGACTAGCTTGACATATTTAAATTTATCTCAAAGCATCATAAAAGCTCACAAAAGGTAATATTCAACTATTTGACGCCCTGCAGTTCTGCTTAACTGCCTTTAACTTCTTATAAAGCACAGGGAAGTGTCGCGGACAGGTGTGTGTGTTTCTGTTGGTTTCGGTCTGTAACGTTAGGTAGTTTCGGTGTTCGCTGTGTTTCGAAAACCAATTGAGCTCCCTATCTAGACAGCATCTTTGAGCGCGTTCAAATGCGTCTGTGTTGTCAAATAATGCTGTCTATATAGGCAGCTCACTAGGTAGGCGATACAGCCAGTGTTTGTGACGAGCTCTTCCTCTTTTGAGGACTTTAGTGACTCTTATAGTTCATATTCCTCTAAGTATGCTGCAAAAGGAAAGACGTTTGTTTGCGTTTAAGGTGTATCTGTCAAACCCAGCATAAGCAGTTAACAATAACTGTTCATTGGATATTAATGTACTGTAAATTATTTTTATATATGAACTGTTTGGCAATATTATGTAACATTTGTTGGGAGAAGGTGTCGCATTGAATTCCTCATTTGATATTTAGTCCTAAATCTTTTCGGGTTATTTTGTGCAGGTTGGGATCGTTAATATTACCATTGTACATTTATTGTCAGGGTTCCCATAGTTAGGACGTTTTATTATGAATAATGAAAAATTTAATTAGTATATCTACTTATTCAACTGTAATATATTTGATCATGTAGTAATTGGTACAAACGACTGAAAAAAGTAATATAAACTTAGCAGCTATGCCTTGTAATTCCACAAATACGAACTGATACTTGTTTATTTGTATTATTCTATTTTGACCTCTCATGGACATATATTTTACAGTGGGAAAGCTAGATGTAAATATGGTTTTACAGACTAGGAAACACCTTGGAATAGCCTCATATTTATGGTCACATACTAATGCTGCAGGTGACTCAGTCTTTCCAAGTTGTTTGGGCTTGTATGCAAAATGAATATTTATCTACAGCCGTGGATAGACTGTTCAGTTCAGTCTGGTTCTCACAGAGTCACCATAAGGGTGGATTCATATTACACCAGTTCAGTCCCTTATTTTGGCCTTTGTGTTCTGGTATTCAGATATTTGGCCCTAAAAGTGTTCCACAGCTTTCAGGTCGTATATTGTTAGCTTGTGTGCTGTTATCTCAATGATCATAAAAAGGCCAAACCAGTGATGTCATCATAACCACCCTGCCAATGTGTGTCATCGATTACACTGAGAACAAATCCTATTGACTGGACAGCCAGGCATTTTTCCAGAGTAGGCCACTGGTTCGAGGGGGATAGATGGTCAGGCATTATCCTTGTTTAACTGGATTGGACTCTGTGGCAACCCCCTCTTTCTCAGCTCCTAATTAATCTTAATAATCTGCTTGTTTTTTTTTTTT